TACTACCTACTACCTACTACCTACTACCTACTACCTACTACCTACTACCTACTACCTACTACCTACTACCTACTACCACTACTACTACTACTAGTACTACTAGTACTACTACTACTACTACTACTACTACTACTAGTACTACTAGTACTACTACTACTACTACTACTTCTACTACTTCTACTACTTCTACTACTTCTACTACTTCTACTACCTACTACCTACTACCTACTGCCTACTACCTACTACCTACTACCTACCACCTACTACCTAGTACCCACTACCTACTACCTACTACCTACTACTACTACCTACTACCTACTACTACTACTACTGCTGCTACTACTACTACTACTACACTACTACTACTACTACCACCACTACCACTACCACTACCACTACTACTACTACTACTACTACTACTAGTAGCACCACTCGTACTAGCGCTAGTACAAACACTACCGCTACTGGTACGCATGCTTGTTGGTTGGTTGCTTTTTGGGGAGGCTGAAAAGCAACGAGGGGATTACAGTTTTTCTTTCCACCCTTTTGTTGAGACAAAGGAAGAAGATATGTTGTAATTAAAGGGTTTGCAGTTTTTGTTTGTACCTTGTCCTTGCCCTTGTCCTTGTTCTTGTTGTTGTTGCTGTTGCTGTTGCTGCTGTTGTTGTTGTTGTTGTTGTCCTTGTCCTTGTCCTTTTTGTTGTTGTGGCTGTTGCTGTTGCTGTTGTTGCTGTTGCTGTTGCTGCTGTTGCTGTTGTTGTTGGTGGTTGTTGTTTGTTGGTGTTTGTTGGTGTTTGTTGTTGTTTGTTGTTGTTGTTTTTGTTGTTGTTGTTGTTGTTGTTGTTGTTACGAAAGCCAGCCTTCGTAGAAGGCGCCAGCTGAGTTGTGCTTGGCGAACGAAGTGAGTAAGTAGGGGGTCTGGGGGGGTGGCCCGAGAGTGTACTACGTAAACTCGAAAATAGGTGGGTGCGCGGAGGTAAGGTTTTTGAGGTTGAGTTTTTGTGATGTTTGAGGGGGTAGTGATGCAAGAAATGCAATTTGCATCATTTGCATCATCTGAATGGCAAGGTGTAGTTTTACAGAGGCCGATGTGTTGTAGATTCGTGCAGCTGTGAATGCATAACCCTTATCTGAGTTCAAAGCACGAATGAGTCTTCAAATCCGTGGATTGCTGCACGTTTCTCAAGGTTATCTAGCGGTTGACGGAAAGGGAAGTTGAATACCTGGCAAGGCGCCAGCTGAATAAGAAGGGGGATTCGGGGGGGTGGCCTGAGAAAGCGCGCTCGAAAGTAGGTGGTGTGTGGGGGTGCGCGGCAGCAAGGCTTTAGAGGTTTTGTGATTTTAAGAAATGCAACTGTCTTCGGTTGCTTGAAGCGCTATACTTGCCAACTGAATTGTGGCTACTTTGGGTGTACCTGGCAGCTGCCTTGTAGCTGCCCTGGGTCCGCGCGCGCGCGCGCGCCTAAATCTAGGGCAGCCGGGAGCCATAAGGAGCGCGCGCGGACCCAGGGTGGGGAAATTAAAGCGCGATACCTGGCGACAGAATTGTAGCTACCCTGGGTCAGTATAAATGCTATGTTGCTATACCTCTAACACACCTATATATGTTCAAAGCGCGGATGAGAGTTCGAAGTTGTGGATTGCTGCACGTTTTTAAAAGATTTCGAACTTGAAGTGCTATACCTGGCAACTGAATTGTGGCTACCCTGGGTACGTGGATTGCTGCACGTTTGTCACGGCTGCGGTTGACGGAAAGGGAAATTGAAGTGCTAGACCTGGCAAATGCTTTGTAGCTGCCCTGGGTCCGCGCGCGCGCACGCGTGCGCCTAAATCTAGGGCAGGCTGGGAGCCAGCAAGGCACGTGCGCGCGCGGACCCAGGGTAGCAGACCCAGGGTAGTTACCGCTGTACTTTGCTTCACACCGTGCTCATGGACAAAAAACGCCGGCCTTCGGTTTGCAGCTTCTCAGGTTGTTGTTGTTGTTGTTGTTGTTGTTTCCCAACGTTTTTGCTTTGGAATTTTGCGCTTCATTTTTTTGGCAGTGGTTGTGGCATGCTCAAGGTCGAAATGCCTTGCTGGAACGTTTCGTGCAGAAGTTGAAGAAGACGTCAGGGTTGCCCAGGGCATTGTGGGCCACCGTCGGCCAAGGAAGCGTACATGGAAAAGTGTTTGTTGAACAATTTTGGGACTGTATCATTCACTCATTCATTCTCGTAGGCGCAAGGGATGTCAACACAAGAATTTTTGCACAAGGGATGTCAAAGGCTGTAGCCTATGATTCGATTTAGTAGTTAAGGAGTTGCGGAATATAACATTTGCTGAAACCTGGAGATAACCATGTCAATGCGGCAGTGTTTTTTTTGCTCGACTATGTTATTCATTAACATTGCTGAATCACATTCTCTTCAGTAAACGGGGGTTTTGGGAGAAACTCATATGTCAAGGTTGTTAAGTTCCGATTAGTTTGCGGCGTTTCTTGGTATGCTGGCATTCTGTTTGTTCTGGCATTGACGTCATGCATGGTTTGAAGCACTTGCAATGCCAAAGTATGTTGTACCAGTACCTTCCAGGCACTACCGGGTGATCACGCAGCCTGAAGGCGAGGGCCTTGGAAAATTCAAGCAAGAGAACAGTTTTCTTGATCTCTCCTGTTCAAGTTTTGATGCCTACAGCCTGTGGAAACAGGTGAAGCATGCTGTTAAGTAAGTTGGCACTGAACGCGCAGTGTATTAGAGCACTTCTGGCGCGCTGCAATGACACATTTTGTTGGGTGATGAAACTCACTGTATTCAGTCTTCCAACAGCTCTTTTTTGCATTGCGTAAATGGGCAAACCGTGTCATGTGTAGAAACACATCGCCGTTGGAATGATTTAGCCAAACACCAGCGCTTCTTGTTTGATTTTGCCCCGTTGCCAATTGCCTTTGCCATGACGGGGGATGCGGGTGTTGGCGATCCTGCTCTTGGAGGCCATCCAGGTGTAGACTTCAGTTAGTTTTTTGGTAACGGCACTAGGATGCTCGCCCGCGCGACAAGTCTCAATTCTTGTGTTAAACAGGTTTGCTTAGGTTATTTTTGTTGAAGATTGGGTTGGCCTCGGGGCATCGAGAGGCATGCTACATTTTTTGTCAGATGTCGCGCAACTAGCCACCGGCCTCGAGACTTAAAGTTAAAGATGCACCCTGAGACTAGTTTTCGTTTGTTTGCCTTCAAAGCCTTATGATTCCTTCGTGTCTTTTCCTGTGCGGGGAGGTGGCTGGCAAGACTTTATCACCGTATGAAACCCTGGGCCTGAAGCCTACTGCTAGCCAGAAGGAAATCAAGCGTGCTTACTTGGAAGTGGCCCTGTCCCTTGCTTGTGATTATTCCTGGACCAAAAGGGGGTTTGCAGTTTCTTCCTGAGATGGCTGGATGGTGGTGCACAAGACAACTTGCTAGGTTGTTCTGAACCTGAACCATTTGGGGTGGTTTGGCAGGTTCCCGTGTGTCCTCAATATCAAGCTGCGCTGCAGTAGACCGAGTGACTTGAGAACTGGTGGTAGTCCAGATGGGTCAAGGTACCTAACACTTGTGACAGTGGTCGTGTCCGGCAAACTCAAAGGCCTTAATGGATTTGATTTAATGAATAATTATCCGAGCAAGTCTTGAAGAAGGGTGGGTCGCCCGGTCGCCTTGGAAGAGGAATATCCTTTTCTGCACGTTCTTGAATTGATGAGCAGGGCCATGAGGATTGATGACATGCTGCTGTGCACTCCTTTTGCCCAGAATGCAGACTGTGGTTGTTGATAAAACACATTAGGTATTCTTGCATGATGGTGTGGCAGAAGGAGATTGCACCTGGCTTGAAAAAAGTCAAGTCTTTACTTCGCAGTCGACTGCAATCGGTCAAGAGATTTGTGACTTGGACGCCGTACAACCCTTCAAAACCCAGACCTAGTGGGAACCCTCGGCTGTACCCTAACAGCCTTGCTGCAGAACACTTGCCATGGTGCGCACCCGCCTTCCGCGGGAACCTGAGAAGGAGGATGCGCCGAGGAAGGGGAGCAAGGATGTTGCCAGACATGGAAAGAAGCGGCGGGGTGTGGCTGGTGGAAGCCCTCTAGGCCTTCAAGATGATGATGATGATGAAGACGAAGAAGATGCGCTTGGTGCATGTGAAGAAGATGAGGAAGGCTTAGAAGGACTTGGTGTGCCACTAGATTCGGTGGTGAAGGTTTCGGCTTGGGCACAAATCATGCTTGGCTCGATCGTTTGTTTTGTGAACCTTTCATGATGCAGGCCCTACCTGACCAGCATGTCAAGATGGAGCAACCATCGGACTTTGCTAAACCAAACAGGTTCGCATGTTCTTGCCACCCTGCGAGGTTTGGTGCGTACACAGCACTCCAAACTTCTCCTTGCCCTGGCAACGACGTCGGCAGTACCGCTCCAGTGGTTCTGGCTTTGTCATTGACGCCGAGCGGAGAGTGATCCTCACCAATGCCCACTGCATCGAGTGGCATACGCAAGTGAAGGCACCTCTTCCCAAGGACGTCCTCTTGAACTGTTCAGGATGAGCAAAAAGTTAAGAGGAACATGTGAGAATTGGGGCACATTGTTTCAATGATCTATTTGGTGTTTCAGCCATTGAGTTCCTTCTGATTCTGTTGGGGTCATTTGGAGCTATGCGGTTATCCGGTTATCCGTCAAGTTTGGGGGTCTGCAGCTGATGAAGCTCAAGGAACTTTTACGAAATGTCATATGCTGCAGGCCTCCATGTGCAAGGGGTCTGGAAATGGGGGTATATTCATGCATCCGGTGCTGCTGAGGTACAAAGAAGAGGCTGCGATACCAAGCACCTGGCGAAGGCCGGCAATTTGAGTTTTCCATCAGTCTGGGTGACTGACATCCATTGCTTGGCTTCAGCAATCTGTATAAAGCTTGTGGTTGGCTGGACATTAAAAACCAAGGGACTTTCTACATGGTTTGTTGATTTGCTACGTAGCAAGGGCGCTGCTGTTGAATGCTGCCAGCAATTGGCAAGGTGCAGCTTGTAAGGCTGTTTAAGACAGGCAACCTGCAGTAGTTCAGATTGTGCACTCCAGATTGCCAACCCTCAAGCTCCCTTCTAGAAAATGCTCCTAGTTAGTTGGATGACTGGCAACCCCACGTTTGCCAAAAAAACGACCCTCACGCAAGGTGGTCTCTGTGGGATGGGAGGCTGACTGTGCGGTCTTGACAGTAGAGAATGACGAGTTCCCTCGCTGCATGGATTAGAAGATAGCCCGCGGCAGCTATGGGGGGGGATGTGTAGGTCCAGGTAAACGAAGCTTAAAAGCTAAGTTGCAAGTCTTTCTCTTCATGTGGGAGACCCCAAGTAGGTTTTGAGCCAAGGTTCTGGCGAGATATCAAGGCAGTTCAGCTTAAAAAGAAGGTGCCCCACTTGGAGGCTGGGTTTGCACCTCGTACGTGGCATCATGCGGAGCTTGTTTTCTGATCAGATGGCTCTAACTTGTACCTGCGTGCTATTTGCACAGTGAACTTTTTAGACGTTACTTGCTGCAGGAGCACGTCCTTTGCGTGGGCTTCCCCGTGGGCGGAGACACCATCAGTGTCACCAGCGGGGTGGTCTCCCGTGTCGAAGTCATGACCTATGCGGCGGCCTGCTCCGAGCTCCTGGGTATCCAGATCGATGCAGCGATCAACAGTGGAGACCAGACCCGCAAAGTAGCAATGCGTTAGGATCAAACAGGCGAAGAAGGAATTCAGCAAAGGGGTGGTAGAAGCGAAAGTAGGCTCCAAGCACGCTGTTGGCTACCGCACTCTGAAGTTACTGTAGTGCTTTGCAAATGCCCAGAAACTTCAGTGGCAATTTTTCTGCTTATAGGGCATAGAACTCCCGGGGCCGGGCCTATCCATAGGCCTGTAGGGCCTATGCTACTCTAGGCTTAGGCCTATCGTGGGGTAGGCCTATGCCTACCCTATACATAGGCCTATCGTAGGCCTATGCCTACCCTAGGCCCTTGCCTATCTACTAGGCATAGGCCTGTCGTGGGCCTATGCCTGCCCCAGGCATAGGCCTATCCTATGCCTATGCCTAGCGCTACCCATAGGCCTATCGTAGGCCCAGGTTGCCGTCCCCTCTCCCAAAGCCTGTCGAAGCAGGAGGTGTGCGGAGGAGGTCCAGGAGGCTGGGTGCAGGAGCGACCGAAACATCGGCGATTTGGCAAGACCATTCCTCGTGCCCAACGGTGAGCGTCACATGATTGCAGAGAACATGGTGGTTGGAGTGCGTGCACTCCCTTCGCCTCTCAAGGCCTGACTGCTCCGAAGCCCAAGCAAATGGGCGAAGTCGTGAAGGTAGAGAAGAAGCCCAGCACTGTTGTACTCTTGACTATGCAAAACGATGAAGGCCTTTAATCCGCAGCGTGTCTTCATAAGTTGGGCTTCCTCACACAGTTGTTCAGTCCTGGACACCTGGAAGTGGGACAAAGATGGTCAGGGCGACAAGCAGCGCCACACGGGCTTGGCAAGGATCCCAGCCGACCAAGCGGACGCTCTGCTTCGTGTTAGTGGACTCGGCAGCTTCTATGTGGACGCCTTCAGGGACACCACTTGGCACGACGTGGCAAGAACGTGAAAGTGGAGAAAGTGACGCTGAGTACTTGATTCGCGCCAAGCGCCTGGCTCCAGCGCTCGGTGTCATATGTGGCGCCACCTTGGTCTTCGTGAACCTCGTGCTGCCGTTGCGAAGGTCGTCAAAGTTTGGTGTTTACAGCATTGTCCCACAGAGTGGTGCCAAGAAGAGGCCGAAACGAAAAGATCCTGAAGGACTCCTTCCAGGACATCTACTTCTTGCGTCGCAAAAGTCCGGCAAAGGACTGTGTGACTTCATCCATCAGGTGGTACCTCATGCTTCACCAAACCCTTGGGCAAAGCACGCGCAACAACTTCAGAAAGCTTCTTTGGCTCCTTCTGCTCCTCTTGGTGGGTGTCCGTTTCCATCAGCTTTTGTGAGCCTTCTTTTGGCGCGGCTTCAGCTTTCTTGACCGGAGGCCCCGTGCGCATGTCCACAGTGTGATAGTCCCGGGCTTTTTGCACCTTGGGAGTGGAGCAAGTCTTGCCCAAAAGGTGTCAGCATCGACTGTGAAAGGCGCAATGTCCAAATCAGCACGGAAGAGCGGATGCTTGTCTCAGGAGGCACGCAGGTATTTAGCCTTAGTGTTTCGTGAAGTTTTTGATGTTTTTTTCAGGTTTATCAGGGTGTGGAGTGGGGGGTTAACAACGTACGTTGTAGATGCTAGGATGGTGTGTTCCCCCACGCTGTTAGCTCTCTCCACAAAGGTAATTCCTCTTATTGCATTCGCGTTCACAAACTGCTATGAATAGGCGTTGCTCCAGGGAGTCACACTTTGGAGCTCGATCCGACAGTCCTTGCGCTCAATGTTTCGGATTACGGTTGCTTCGGATTGACAAAGACACGGATGTTCTTTGCGTTGCATTTCTATGTTTGCTACGCGTTTGTCATCTCAAGGGCAGGAAGATGTTTACTTTTACTTCGGTGGTGTCTTTGGTTTACATTGTTTGTCTTTGGCTGACTTCTTTTGAGGACGTCGATGAA